TTCAAAAAAAATAATTATATTCCTTTTATATAGTTTAACAATCATAAAATTTTGATTAATTTTTTATCACTTTATTTTTATCTTAATAATTATATAAAAAATATTTATTTAAATATCATATGATCGGATTAAATATTTAAAAAATATTATAAAAAATATTATATTATTTTTTAAAATATTAAATTTATTTATTTGATTTGAATATATTATATATTTGTTTTGTAACTTATTAATAATATTATAATATATAAATTTATATATTTGTAAATATATTTATATTACATAAAAAATCTAAAATAATATTTCAAAATAACTTATACTTATAAATATTATATTTTTTAGAAAAACGAATAAGATGTTAACAATTTTAATGTGAAAGTTGTTAGCCGTCCTATCTATAGGGTGATGTGTCATTTATGTGACAGTTCGTAGCTCTGCAGGCGGCAGCTTTGCTGAAACACTCCTCTCCAATTAATAGCATATATGATGTGTTATTAATAGCATAAATAAATACATCAACAACATATTTTCGTGCGGATGTCATGTGAGGCTCCGGATTTGAAGAAAAACAAAAGCCAGCAGTACTTTCTATCTTGTTATTTTTAATGATTTGATTAATATTTTTCAGAGAATACAGGCAAAGTACAATCCTGGAATGTTTTGTAAGTTGTGCTTCTAGTGTTGTTGGTTAAATTTTCCATTGAGGGGCATGGTAAAGTTTTCTGTATTGAAATTTTAATCTTATGTTGGATATAAGTAATTAAAATTTAAAGTTTGTAAATAAAATATTAAAATTTAGTTTTTTATAATTTTTTATTGATAAATTATTTATAAATTTAAAAAATATTAAAAAATTCATAATTAATTTTATAAATTAAAGACTTGCTTGACTTTGATTAATAGAAAAAATTATAAAATTTTTAAGTTAAAATGAATAATGTATCAATTAAGTATAGGTTTTCACATAATATAAAATTTTATCATTGAATTATATTATTTTTAATGATATTTAAAAAAAAATTCAATATCTAAACTTTTTTCTCAAATATTTTACAGTATTGATTAATCTAGTTAGTAAAAATTATATATAAATTTAACAACAAAGATATATATATTTTATATGAATGAATGGTAACATAATAATTTTTATATTTTATATATATTAAAACATTAAAATTATTTTAAAATTATTTTCATTTAATGACTTAAATTAATTTAATAATCAATTAATTAGTTTAATTAATTAATTAATTAATTCGATTAAAACTAAATTGTGAATACTTTTGGTTTTTTTCTTTTGATATGAAAAGTGATGTCTTGAACTTTACTCAATGTGTTAAACTAAAGAAAGACGTTGATGGAGAGTCCAAAGTAATGATGCTTGACTTGGAGGCATAACATGATTAATTGCCTTCTACCATCAATGTAGATTAATGCATTATTAAGGATGAGAGCGAAAATTTTTGTCATTGCTTTTTAGAACAAGGAGAGAGCAATTTTTAAATCAAAGACATAACTATCTACTTAAAATGATATTAAGGAATGTAAAACATCGTTTTATATTTGTCTTATAGATATATACTTAATTGCCAAAATCCTACATTGAGATTGAACTTGGAGATGACTTTAGCTTGTGACAGGTTTACAAATAATGATTTTTTGTTTGAAAAAAAAAACTTATCATTTGTAAGAAAAGCATTAAGTGGCTTATAATTAATTACCAATCTTAATTTTTTACGAACTTATTTTAAAATTTTGTTGACATAAAATGCCTCACATGCTCATAGAAAAAAAGTTGGTTCAATTAATCATTGTGCCTAGAGTTGTAAACATTCTTGGCTTGTTAGTTTCAAATGATCTTGGTTCAATCCTAAGTGACTGGCTTTTATCAAGTTAGCATTTTCATCTCTTTTGAAGGGAAAGATAATGAAGAAATCAAGGTTTTTTCAAAGTCAGTGGTTACATTTTTTGAGGAATTCTAAAATAATATTTCTATATATCATAGTTTACAGTAATACAAGTTAAGTATACATTATAGTTACCATAGTATCATGGATTATCTACTTCAGAAAGCCTTATAGAATTGTCAAATAGATCATTAATCCACCAAGCCAAAAAAAAAGTTATTTTACCAAGATCTTATTAAAATAAGCTACCATAATAAAAAGTATGTCTCCGTAAAAGTCAAATCACAAGTTTGATGTTATGCCGAGAGGACACTTAGTCTTGAACACCGGCTAGAATGCCTTGATCATATGTCTGAACTATGGACTGTTTATGTTTGGTATTATCTTGATGCGGGCAACCGATTTCAATGAAAAATGTATAAAATTTGAAAGCTATTTTAGATCTTGGAAAAAAACTTTCAAACCTCTTTACCCTGATCGTTGAAACAGATTTGTTCTAGGAATTCAAACAAAAGTTTATTTAAATTTTATGTGCAGAAAATCATTCAAAATTCCTCCAGAAATGCAACTACCCACTTTGGAGAAAGTTTTGTAGAATTGTCAAATAGATCATTGATCCACCAAGCCAAAGAAAAGTTATTATACCAAGATTTTATTAAAATAGGCTATCATAGTGAAAGGTATGTCTCCATAAAAATCAAGTCTTCAATCCGACATCATGTCAAGAAGGCACGTAGTCTTGAACATTGACTAGAATTCCTTTTCTTTGGTTAGGTGGATCAGTGATTTGTTTGACAATTTTATAACACTTTCTGATACAAAGGATCTACGATACTGTGATAATTGCAAAGCATACTTAACTTATATTACTGTAAATCATCATATAGAAAAACTGTTTTTTATTTTTAAAACTAACTACCAAAGAAGGAGAAAGGAATTACCAAAAAAGATTAAAGATTTTAGCTAAACATATTTTATAAAAGAAGATTTCTTATAAAAAAGAACTTCTTAAGGAAATTATAACATGTTTCTTTTGGAAAAAGGAGCTAAAATATATACAAGGAAAAAAGTAAGCAAATAGTAACATAATAGGAAATAATAATGACATAAGGTCCATTACTAAACATAAAACAATTGACTTGACTTAAAGTTACTTTAATAGACAAAGTCTTATCAATCTTCAGAATATTATTTTTAAAATCCAATCAAGGATAATGACCCTAGATCGAGAGCTTAGATACATGACTGAAATCAACATTAGATTTACTTATACTTTTATAAAAAGAGAAAAAGAAATGAAAAGCCTCAAGATTCAACTTGTACACCTTTAAAATCAACTCCGTCAGAAATAATAACAATAACAAACAACTTTCAACTATAGTATCTTCACTCCGATCAATACTGATATGCATGACATCTCTTACCAAGCTTACACCTTTTTTCCTTCCCAACCATATAACCATTTTCCAACCTCACCTCCAAAACTTTTTTTCACACCATTTTAATACAAATCTCTTTCCACAAATAACCTTTCACTACTAGATGACATACAGAATTTAAGATCATGTTATAAGCTTTTTTTCATTTTTAAATTAAGCATCTGATTAAAAGTTAACATATCTAGTTCTACGAGAAAATGGTATCCAATGGGTGAAATTCAAATATTTGGATTCCATACTTAATAGCTAAAATCTCTTTTTGCATAGAGTGATAATGAAATTTTAAATTTTTGAATCTACCATTTTTGTATCCACATATTTGTTTGGTTTCATTTTTTTTATAAGGATTGTCGACCAAAATTTATCACTTACGTCTGTTTACAATATCTTTTTTTCATCTAAAGAAATCTTTAAAGTTGAAAGTGATAGCGCTCTTATCTTTAGCATCTGTACTGACTTTGTTTGTTTTTTAGACCAGTTGGGTGGTTCTTTCTTCAGTATCTGTCTGAGATGATGAGTTTTTTATGCAAAATCTAAGAGAAATTCACTCATGTAGTTAACTACATCAAAAAATTATTGTACTTGCTTCTTGGAGAGATTTTCATCAGAAAACTTTTCTTTGGCTGGGTGAATCGATGATCTGTTTGATAATTCTACAACTTGACTTGAAAATGACTTAAAGTTGACATAAAGTTGACACTAAAGTTGTGGGGATCGGTTGCCTCTATCACGATAATACCAAACATAAGTAATCCATAGTTTAAAAATATAACCGAGGTATTCTAGCCGATGTTCAAAACTAAGTGCCCTATTGGCATGACGTCAAATTGGTGGCCTAACTTTTATAGAGACATGCCTTTCACTATGGTAGCCTATTTCAATAAGATCTTGGTACAATAATTTTTCTTTGGCTGGGTGGATCAATAATCTGTTTGATAGTTTTATAAGGGTTTCTGATACAGAGGATCCATAATACTGTGATAACTATAAAGCATATTTAACTTGTATTACTACAAACTATAATATAGAAAAATTATTTTCGATTCTTAAAACTAAAAACTGAAGAAGAAAGAAGGAATTACCAAAAGATAAGAGAGATTTTAGCCAAATATATTTTATAAAAGAAGATTTCTTACAAAGGAGAACTTCTTAAGGAAGTTATGAATTCCCTTGTTCCTTCTAAGAGAATGAGCTACAATTTATGCAAGGAAGATTTAACTCTGCAAGTTAAATCTTGAGGTTTTTCATTTTTTTCTCTTTCTGTGAAAGCGTAATTTAGCAATGTATTTAAACTCTCAATCTAGAGTCATTATCTTAATTGGATTTCAAGAACCCAAAAAGTCAAAAGCTGAAAAAGCTTTTTATGAGAAAGAAATTAACCCTCATAATTAAAAACAAAAAGAGAAAAACTAGTTTCAATCATGTGGTGGACAGCTTGTTTACTCTTGGATCTCATAACATTATAAAAATGTGCCATGGCACTGCTTCTTCTTGCACTTTTGCATATTCAAGCCAACAAAGCAACAATTCTAGTGCTTCAGAATATGAAGGTAAGCCACTCATTTTCTTTTCATGGCTGCGTTGTATATCGTCCCTTGCAATATTATACTTGTTTCATCCAGTTGATTTCTCTGCTGTTCGGATTTAGAACATGATATTTCATTAATTTGATGGTGCAGCAAAAGATTGTTATTCAGGTGTCAATGCCCTGTGACAAATGCCGGACGAAGGCCCTCAAGATTGCTGCTGCAGCACATGGTATATACGTTTTAGTTAGGCCTAAAAATTTTTCTCTGTCATATTTAAAATTATCGAATCTCGTTTTAATCTACCAACTTTTAATTTATCTGAACATATTAATTCAACAAAAGAAATTAATTTCTCCAAGGACTGATGTTTTGAACTTTTTTTTTTCTTTGCTTAATGGCATAGGTGTGATATCAGTGGCATTACACGGTGCAGAGAAAGACAAATTGATGATTGTTGGAGATGGGGTTGATGCAGTCTGCTTGACTAGTTCCTTGAGGAAAAAGTTTTGCCATGCAAGCTTGGAGACAGTGGAAGAAGTGAAAGACAAAAAAGTTGAAGATCAGAAGAAAGATGAAGATAAGAAAACTCCAATCGTATGCTGTCCACAACCTCAGCTGGAATTTTTTACCGTGGTGCATGATCCCTATCCAAGCCCTTGCACTATATTGTGATAATAATAGAATAGAATCCGGTGGAATCCGAAACTTAAATCGGTTGATTCATGACATTCAACAGATTTATATTCAGCAAGTTTATAATTTAAATGTTAATACTTGTAACTTCTTTCTATAATTCTAGATCGTGGTGTTTTTATTTAAAAAAAAAAAAATAGATCCAATGGTATCATAACATCATTTTTTATATATTTTGATTAAAATTTTAATTAATTTAATTTTTGAAATGAATTAATTAAAAATCAAAATTCTTTTAAAATTATTTTCATTAAATGATTGAAATTAATTTAATAAATAAATAATTTAATTAATTAATAATTAATTTAATAAATAAATAATTTAATTTGGTTTTTTCTTCATATATGAGAAGTGATGGCTTAGGCTCTACTCAGTGTGTTAAACTGAAGAACACGCTACTGGAGAGTCCAAAGTCATGATGCTCGACTTGGAGGCACAGCAAGATTAATCCCCTTGCAACCTTTCACTTTCGGAGTACGGAAATAGGACTCAAAAAGTAAAACACTTTTTCTGCAGGAAACATCATCCATATACGCTCTTATCGGGAATTAAATGTTGTAATTTGTAACCGCATATCGGTTTCTTGTTACAAACATGGACTCATGTCTAGTTACATCAACGGATAAGATGCTCTTTATTTTTGAGATCACATTTGAATTTGATTATTTCTTAAAATGTTTCTTTAAATTGTTAAGGATATTTTAATGTTTAAAAGGCAAAATAACTTTTTTTAGTATGGATGAGCAAAAGTAAAAGTAATATGAATTTATGGGTTCATCCCAATAATTTACATACTAATATTTTAAGAAATTAACTTATCATATTTTGAGTGAATAATTAACGATTAATTCAAGTCAAAGACAAATTTTAATATTTTAAAACTAACCACAAGTAAATTATACTCAAAATCTCTGATCTCACAAATATAGATAGCACTATTTAAGTATGATTAATTCATTTAATTTTTTTTAAGGATAATTTTTTTTTTATTTTATTTTTATATTGATCTCTGATTTAAGTATCGAAATATAAACAATGAGATCATTCTTAATTTTTATTGTTAATTATTTTTATTTAATTTTTATCATTTTAATTTTTAATCGGATCGGGAAATTATAAGAGAGTACCAAGGCCATCTCAACTCACGCCAGGGTGCCAAATTACACACTACATAATTCTTATGTTTGATAGTTTGGAAAGACTAGTTGATAAATGAAACTTTGAATTTATTGCAATGAATTATTGATCAAAAGAAAAGTTATACATTTATTACAATTGAAATAAATTTTCTAAAGATACTTTTCTTTAGTCTCCAAACTTTTAATTTAATAATTAAAGGCGTTTGAAAAAATATCAAAAAATTAATTTCAAACTTACGCTCTCTTGATGTAACAAAAGAAAAACTTCACGTTAGATTCATATAAGGTTAGCTATAAGGCCATTTTGACATCTTTTGGATTGAAAATTGAGATAAGATCGGATCAAAGTGAGTCTATAAAATGTCACTAATCTAACATCTACAAGAGAATGTGTTGATTTTAGGCTTTATAAATCATGAGTCTTCTTCAGCCTGATAAACGTAATAATCATTTTTTTTAGATTGGAAATGTGGACCCATAACACAAATACAATCAAAGCCGACCATTGACTTGCTTTAAATTCAGCAATTAAAAAGCTCTTTAGACCACTTTGGCTCACACTCGCCAAAACTAAACCAACAGACGAGGTAAAAGTTAACACAATTTGAAAAACTCAAACGATCGATCCAAATTTAAATTTAATCGATTTAATTTGATTAAAAATTTAATAATTTGGATTTGTTTTGATTCCAATTTGAATTATTCCAAATTTTAATTAACGGAATTCAATTGGAAATGAATTCAAATTGATTCATTATCAAATTGATCCGATTTAAATTAATTCAACTCAAAATAATCTAATCTTTAATTTTGAACTAACAATAAATATTTAAATGTTGTAATTAATGGTCAAACTAGTATATTATGTAATAATATAATTCTTTTCTAGTAACATGAGAGTTACGTATCAACAGTTAAGTAATCAATATAAAATTTATATTTAATACATTATCAGTATATAGATATTATATATTATCAATAAATCATATAATAACATTTCATTAAAAATTAATTTTAAAATTTTAAAATCCTAAAAATAAATATACTTAATTCTAAAAATATATTTTAAAATAATTTCTTTAAAGATGTGTCATTATGCAGTTCATTCATAGTTATAGCATAATACATTAACAATATATCAAATATAAATCCTTCAAAATATCAACAATATTATCTTTAACATCATCATACTTTTTAGTGATTACAATAATAATAAGTCTTCTTAAAATTATTTAATTATTTTTCTATTTTCAATTCGTTATTAATAAATAACATGGACAAATATGATTTTATAAAATCATTAATAAATTTTTTATTATAAATAAATTTAATTTTATATTTAACATAGCATAGTTTTATATTATTAACAAATTATCTTTAAATCATTTAATTTTGACATTTTAATTTTTATATAATTTAATTGTATTTATTTGATTTTAAAAATTAATAAACTGAACATGAATAATCTAAATGTTAAACTCCAATGATTCAAAGATAAAACTTAAAAAACTCGAAAATTAAATGATCTAAAACCAAAATTATTTGAATCAAAATTAATCAGAAATTGAATCGATTCGAACTTAAATTCTCATAACCCAAAATAACTTAATTTTTTAATCCCAAACCTGAAATAATGAAAAATTTTCTTAAGCCAAACTCAAAATAATAAAATATTTTACCTAAAATGATCCACTCAAAATAACCTAATATAAATCCGAACCCATTTGTCACCCCTTGTAAACCGATTAACAACGGCTTTTCTTTACTCAAAACTGTTTACCGACCCATCGTAGCTAGTTTACTATAGCTTTTTGTTTTGTTTTGTTTTGTTTTTTTCCTTTGTCCAATGGTGACGTATCCACTACCCCTTGGGGAAGGCCGGTTTAGTCCAAGCATGCAGGGCAGCCTACTAAAAAACGAAGCATTACCACTCTGCCAGGAAGCTAAGCGTTATCGTGAATTTATACTAAAAAATCATGAAGTCTATTATCAATATTTTTAATTATATGTGATTAATTTGCTATGTATATTTATCTTTTTAAAGATTATTTTAAGTGTAAATTAAATTTTTTAAAAAAAATAAATTTTGATTTACATTAATAGAATTAAATTTGAGAATTGATTAAGTGTAAGAAAAATTTTAACATTTTTTTATATACAAAATTAATTATGTATTATTTTACTTAAACTTTAATCAAAAATAAATTTTTATTATGCAAATTAATCAATTCAAAATTTTTTATTTATTAACACAACATTATCATGTAAAAAATTTTATAAAAAATATCACATAATCATGCAAATTTCATAAATATTATGTCAATATAGAAATCATATAAAAAATTATGCCAAGATACCATGTAATAAATTAAATTCATACCAAAATTATTATGCAATATCATATAATAATATAAAATATCATGTAAAAATTATAAGTATAAAATCATCATGCGAATATCAATACCATGCAAATATAAATCACATAAATATAAATAATCATGTAATTAAATTAATAAATTATGTAAGGAAATTAAATTCAAACAAATAAATAACATAAATATAAAAAAATTTGGAATTCTCTTTTTTTTTTTAATTAATATAAGTAAAATAATAAAATAAACAAAATAAACAGATTAGACAAGAGGAAAAAAAAAAAAAAAAAACCCGTAACTGCCGTTGGCGGCTCGGGTTTAAAACAGATTCGTGCGCGGGTTGCATGGGTTGCAATTGATTGTGCAGGATGGCTGGAAATTGAATTTGCTTGTCTCTCTGTTTTGCCTTCTTGCACTGCTGCTTCTGTCTCTGCAAATTGCTTTTGAAAACTGGGCTTGTTGCTTACTGTGTTGATAATTTTTTGATGTTTGATGATGAACTTCTTGCCGTGATTTGCAGAAAATTGGATTCTTGTCTGGATGCTTTCTGCTTCTTGCTTCTTCTGTGTTTGTTGCTTGACGCCTCTCTGTATTGCTTGATTGAGTTTTCTAGATTGCTTCTGTATCACTTGAGCTTGTTTTGCCAAATTGCTCCTCGTCTCAGTTAATTGCTTCCTTCTTTGATTCTGCTTGATTGTTCCTCAATGGGCCTCTGTTTGATCTTCATTTGCTACCGTCCGGCCCCCCTGTGATTGCAGATTGGAAGTTGTTTTATAGGGATAAATTCTACTTCAATTTGAAACAAATTTTAACGCTTACCGAATCTCCAAGATTTTTTCTGTGACTTTCCCTTTTTTTTTGCATGAATTGAAGTTTAAGAATTTTCCTATCTGATTAATCAATAAAATTCAAAATACCAAAACCGAATATAAGATCATCCCTTTTGCAAAATCCCTTTCTTTTTCCCTTATTTTTTGTTTGACTTTATGACGTTGACCAAAAGTCAAATAAAATAAAATCAAAATCAAAATCAAAATTATTATCAAAATCAAAGTCAAAATTACAATCAAAATTAATGAGTTTTTAATCTTTGAATCCAAAATTTATTTTTTGATTTAAAGTTCACTTACATAATCAAATCAAAAATTGAAGTTTAACGAATTTTGAAAAAATTTAGAATAAAATGAAATGTCCACACTTCAATTCAATAAGCATAACATATGATACAGATAAAATAAGAAACTAATAAGCTTACAACATATTGCAAAATATTACAACACATTCCAAATGTATACGTGCGTGCAATCTATTGATTCAGTTTAAAGAACTGAAAACTGATTCAATCAATCTTTTTTATTAAATAAATGAACTGATTGACCTATTTTTAATAATCGATAATAATTGAATCGATATAAAATTGCCCGGTTCAATCCAAAAAACCCTTTTTCTTAACCATATTTTGCCACAATGTTCTAATTTTCACCCAATGAGACAATATAACAATTCCCACGATTTTCAATAAACTTAAAATCAGTGCTAGTAATCAAGCACACATTACAGTTTGGTTGCATTATTCTTGTTGAGGTCTTTACAAATAGATGCGTTGGAGGAAAGCATATTTTGCTTTCCCAGTGACGATCAAAATGGGCTCTGAACGTCTGAACTTAAAAATTGGAGATTGGTATAGAACATTGAGTACCGAAAACAAATCATTGTGTTTAATGAATCTACCTAATATCCTCAGGAGACTCTATAGCTATCAGGCTGTCTTTGCAACCTGAGGCAGCGTTTTCAGAAGGGACATGGAAGGCCTTCTTACAGTGTGATTGAGCAGGAGCATGAGTGTCAAAACGGTTAAGGCTCCTGCCTGATGTGCAGTGCCAAGTGAAACAGGTACATATGATAGAAGTGTTGATACACCTAAGGTTACCTACAACAATGAAAAATAGAATATACAGAGTTAATAATCTGAACTATTAAAGGAAAAACTCGATTTGCGAAGATCCTACTTTTGTTTAAACGAAAGAGATTTGAAAACTACCAAGAGCCGTGTGATTTGTTGGTAGAGTGCTGGACTCTTAGTTCTAGTGACAAGGTTCAAATCCTGATAACCTCGAGTATAAGACATAAAAACCTAGGGCAAAGCAATCACCTGAAGAGCAGCCATTCCAAATGTGCTTCCAACCAAAGATCGAATAGCCGGATGGATGTCCAACTTTCTGGTTGACCACCACAAAGCACAAATAGAAATTAAAGTGGTAGTCGCAAGGATACGGTGGTCAAGATGTGAAAAGCAAAACAGATTTGATATGTTATTGAAAAAGTTGTTTCTCATTATTGTGAAGATATAGTTATCACTTACTAGAAGGGACAATAGCCTTGTGAAATTGAAGTTGTATGCATAATCATTATGTTCATGTAATTTAAAGCAATGGCAAATCTTAATGCATGTTAACTTACACACCAATGGGTAATTGATTTCTCAGAAAGTGGCTGTTATACCTGATCCATGGTGGCTTCTGTTAATGGAATCTAACTTTAAAAGGGCATTTATAAATATCTAAAGAGATATCTATATATAGGGGAGCATCTTCTTTAAGTAACTTTACAGAACTAGAAAGCATTATTGTGTTCAACCAAAAGGTTATCACTCCGAACATGAAGCAATCAATGAGAAAATGAACAAGAGGAACAAAATCAAATTTTATGTGACAATTCCAGCTTTATAAATATACTCTTTAACAAATTATCCTCTATAAATTAACTAATGCCTTTGGTTAATTCAATTCCCCTTTTCTAAGCAATCATAAGAGCAACTAATGCAATCACCTGGAAGATCATGAAGTCCACTTGCTTATACAGTGTAAGAGGTAATATTAGTGAGGACAAATTACCTGCACTGTCGATGTATTCTCGAAGAAGTTACGGATTAGTGGCTTCAACTCAAATATATCATCAGGAATCCATGAATCTCCCATCTTTGGAAAAGTATTGTATGCATGGCCCTAGAAATTAATTTAATGATTTAAATTAAAAGAAAATCATTAATAAAGAATATGCCTTCAAAGAACTGAAAAGAATAGTACGTCTCCACGCTGATTAGCAATGTTAGTTAAACATATAATAGCAGTTATAACAACTAATTAATTATCGCAAGTTATGGCAGTAAAATCTAAGTCATGAGAACAAGTTTACCTAGGGCTGCAAAGTATAATTACTTGGAAGTGAAACTACTATTATGCAACCAATATATGTGACATTTTCCTTATACCGCTTATATTCAGGTGACTGCTTGTATTTCTCAAACTATTGCTGCCACTCCTCATCTGATAGAGGAGGAAGGCTCCCAGTGAATTTCCAATCAGTCATAGAAAGACCAGATCGGGTCAGTCTTGTGACACCACCTAGAAACACCATACTAAAAACCCATGCAGCAGAACCAAAAAGCCATATTCCCACCATTTTCTGAGCACATGGGTGTGCAGTTACTAGTAGCTTCAATCCCTCCTTCTCTGAGCCAACAGAGGCCACAGTGGACATATTCCTGAAGGACGGCACGTGATGGCCCTGAAATGAATAAAAGAAGTTCCTTTTAGTCACATTCACATAACAGTTGGAGCATATCACCAATGTTCTTTTGGATAATTTTAAGAGAAAATCTACAGCAGAAACAACTTTCTTTCCTTCAATGTTGAAACCGGACTCTGAAGCATCATTTTCACCTTGAAATGCTTAAGCACTCCACAAGTGACAGGATTGCTTAAAATCCCCAGCCACTTTCGGCAATATTCTTTAAATGGGAACCATAGAGTGCATATTTAGTGACAGAATAAGTCAAAGACTATTTCCAAGTGCTATCATCTAATTGACATTTTGGTTTTATAATGACTGTTTCTAATTTAAATGAATTCTCATCATTCATCCCACACTCCGAAAGCTTTATGCAAACAAAAGCTAAATGGGATGATCCAAGTCACTTGGTTTTCCACCCAGCACAGACAGATCCACATATATAGATAGGGTGTCCATGGACACTCCAAAGATTGGAAAATAAGAAAATTTGAAAACAAAATTACACTAAACACCCCAAAATTTTCCCCTAGACACCCTTTTAAGTCAATAAAATTGGTAAACCCATCCATAGCTTTTATTATATATATATATATATTATAAATGAACCCCAAAAAAAATCCTGATCCGCCATTGCCACCAAGACCACAATATATCAGTAACTGCGTGAACAAATGAACAAAAATTTTATTTGCTCAACAATAAATTTCGAATCTTTTACCATAAACAACAAAAGAAATAGTACAAGACAGTAAACAATTCAAGTCAATCACATCCATTTTCATGAAACCACAAAAAGAAAAAAAAGGATACCCATTTCAATAAAGCGAATAAAGAATCGAAATTGTTAAAGAAAAGAACCCTAGGCAGAGATCTGAAGCCATAAAAGGAGCTCCTTGCAACTGTATTAGTAGCAGAAGAAGAAGAAACAAAAACACGAGAGGAAGACGTTCCCTTGAGATTGGATGTTAAGCCATTGAGTATAGCTTTGTTTCTCTTTAGAATAGAAGCAACCACTCTGCTTTGAAACATTTCTCTCGCTGTCTGTTCAACTCTTAAACCTGTGGGTTCCTGTGGGTTTACGGAGGATTTTTGACAAACTAGTGAACCTTGATGGGTCATTTCAGTACCGGGTTTGGAGGATCCGTTTTAATGTTTGTTTTGTTGTTCTCAAAACGGGTGCTAGTTAACGTACGTTACTTTTTTTTTTTTTTGGGTAAAAAAAATTTAAAATAGATAGATTATTCAATTTTTATATCAAAGTATGATATATCGTATTTAATAATTTAAAATAAATAATTATAGGTTGTACATTTGAGATGACTCTTAATAAGTGATCATCGCCAAAACTTGAATTCAAAACATTTTCATTAAAGAATATGATTTTAATTGATTGAATCAATTACTTATTGATAACATATTTTACTTTATTTGTAACTTAAATCGTGGGACTATTTCTATGAGGGTAATAATAATTTAATCGAATATTATAATATTATAAAATTTTAAAATTTAATTTAAATTTAAATTAATTTTTCATTAAATTTAATTTGAAAAGAATTCAATTTAATTTGATTTATTGATTTTTAAAATTTAATTTTTAATTTTTTTATATATTATTTTAATATACAAAATTTAATATATTTAAATAATTTTAATATAAAATTATTATTTTAATTTTATAAAAATTTAAAATATATATAATTAATAAAAATATATAATTCAATTTATTTTTTTAATTTTTATCTAAAATTTAATCCAAACTTAATATATATATATATAATATATATATATATTTAATATTCAAATTTAATCCGAATAAAAGAAAAAAAAAACTAATCTTAACTGAATTTTACCATTTCAAATCATCATGTATTGTATAAGATTATTAGATTTAATTTCAGGCAATTGGTTGTTTAATCTGCAAGTGTTATTGAATGAACTAAGAAGCTAGAAACTAGAACAAAATGCTCTTAGTGGGATCAATTAAAATTTACACAGTGGCCAGCTCAATGGCAACCTGCCATTGTTTCTTTTTAAAGGACCTCTTTGGCATGTCATTATTACATTAAGACATGGGCTCCTCCATGAACAAATAATTTGTGACCTCCTATGGTCCTACTAGCAAGTGCAAAACAAGAACCAGTTCTGATCACAGCTCAATGGTTATGCTCCAAAGATACAACTCTTCCTCAGGAACTCCCAAAGAAAGGGTCACCAAACCAGATCCATCATCATATTCAAAACCAGTTTCTTCTGAGTCGACCGTTATTCTCTTCGGATGAGTAGATGAATAGGCTCCAAACAGGTCACACCCTCGAACTTTCATGTCGATGGCTGCACTTCTGCCAGATTGATATGTTAATTCCTTGATGGCTCCTCCTGAATTGAACATCTTGATCAGACCAATGGGAGCAAATTTAGTCCCATTGGATAATAACTTTACAGGTATCACTGTGAAAACTTCATATTCTCGTGCCTTCAATGTGATTGGCATAGTTGCATTATTTGGAAGGAAGATCACTTCTCCTGCATTTCGAATCAGAAAAAATTCTTCAGGAAAACTGACCCGAAATTTAATTTAGTTGGTTTATGTGATCGGCACTTAACAGGTACGGGATTCAAATCCCTATACCTTCCTAAGTCGTGCATAATTTAGAGTGGCTGTTAAGGAAAATAAAATTAGCATGCTAGACATACCAGCAAGATGGGAATATATGATAGAATCTCCGTTCCATCCATCACCAGCAACTTTAGGCAAATAATCAACATCTTTAGCCTTGATATATCCTGTAATTGTTCCAGGCTGTAGGTCATGAATCATATTCGTCTTTCCAACCCTACACCACCCTGCTCCCTGGCAGTTGAATACACCCATGACTCCAGTGAACTCATTCAGATTCCAAATCTTTAGAAGACTGCAGTAGAAATGAAGAGTATCATGAGCATGAAATCTTTGCTGTTTTTCTCTTTGGGTTAAAGGAGTGGTGTATTCCAGAATCAAGAATCAAATATAACCACTATTTTTTTGGATTAATGTCTCCAACGACGCTTAAACTATAGTGAAATATTCAACATAGTCTAATATGGTATTCATTTCTAACGTAATTAGCTTTAAATGATGACTAATGACTAACAAACAGCCTTCCAAATATCACATTAATTAACAGATTTATAGTTCAAATATCATATTAGATATTTTTGAAGTTTAAAAACCACATAGAACATGTTACTACAATTCAAGGGCTTTTGGAAACATTAACCATTTTTTTTCTTTTCTGACCTTTTCCCATCTCTGGCTGGATCAGTGAACAAGCAATCCCTTGTAGGTCTTCCCGGAAGTTTGGCTCTCAATATAGAACCATCCGGAAGCACAAGCTTCCTGAGTAGTTTAAAGTCATGTTGCCCAGGTTTGTCACTGTAATAATACAGCACTCAAAATGAGAAATCATATGTTAAATTTACAACTCTCAAGACTAAATGACACAAAATTGTACCTGACATAGATAGCACATCCTCCAACAGCACGAGCTGCTCCGTGGTATTCAGCCATCGGATGCAAGCTCTGTCACCAAAATCATTCCTGAGTTAACATTGACAGTTCAAGAAGTAAATATCAAATATTAGAAATAGACTAAATCTGCTAACTTACATGAAACATATCCCAATCTGGTTGCATGAATTCCCCAAGAAAAACAGTATTATATGCAACTGATGCAATGTGGATCGTGTGGGATGCTGGATCTCTTGGCCAGAAATCATCTGATGCCCGAATTACAGCTGTTCGTTTTGCACTGCACAAATAAATCATATGTCAGACCAAGTTCAGGCTCTCAGCTGGATTTGGACATGAAAGATGGAGTTTACCTGTATAAACCATCTGTATTATGACTCATACAAGAGATGATATCATTGTTACGGAAGTTCCTAGCAATGGATGCCTCTAAAGCCTGATGGTATCTTCTAGCAAGTTTCACTCTTCCACCATGGCCTGCCCCAAGAGTTTCAAGGATGTTCTGAACATCAACTTTGACTCCATCGATACCAGCTGATGCAAGGTACGAGTGAAGTTCATCATAGAAGTTAAACACTTTTTCAGGGTTAACGAGGCCAAGGCCATTCTTAATTATGCTGTCCAAAGCTTGATCAGGCTCATTTGACTGAACTCCAGGAGATGAAATAGGGCAAGCCAATTTGGATTCATAGTGTTCCATTTCAGTAACACCTGGCCTAACACCTCCCCAGTACCCTGTTATTGCATGCCAAACATAAGCATACTTCAAAGCACGTTTTTCTTTAATTTCAGTGACAATGTGGCGAAGCCCCAAAGCTGGATCCTCTACTCTATGACCTTCTTTGCCATCTTTCTGAAATTTATGGTTCTCTTTGATATGTGTCAATCTGTTGGCAAAGCTGGAACACAATAAAGCCAATATAGCAAGACCTTTTAGCCAATGGAAGGAAGAATATCAAGAATAACAAGAGAATTCTAGTTAAATGCTTACTTGGCAGCATTATCAGCTTTGAATTCAGTTCCATTTGCATCCATTCCAACAGATTGCCACCCATCATCGATAATAACAAACTTTGGAGGAATCCCGCCTTTCTCCAAGCTGCAAGGGTTACTAGTTAATTGCTTATCTTATCTCTTAATGCCATAAACCTAATCAGTGACAGACTTAGGATATTTTCGTAGGTGTTCACTTATAATATATATAGAACATTTTCAATAGATTTATCAATTTATCGACAAAAAGAATGTTCAAGGAAAAATTTTGTGGTGTCAGGGACACCCTACCTATACATACTGATCCACCTCTGAACCTAATAGCATCCTAATAAGAAGAAATTACCTCTCCAATCCTTCATTTAGACTCTCAGAAGTGACATTGGTGTAGAAAGCATCCCATGTACACCAGCCAAACCAGTTCAACATGTCTGGCATCTGAACAATGAAGAATGATTGCAAAATATAATTTCATGTATTAGGAATGGAGATGACACAATTCTAACTCAAGCAACAGAAAATTACTTTGAAGAAAGGCTTACCTTCTTTCTCTCGCAATGAGAAAACGTCTGTAAATGCCTTTCCACAGACCTGCATACAATTTCCATTATAACTTAGCTGACAATTTCAGATTTGACATGAGACAATGTGTCCCAAGAAAAGCCATGATTTTAAAACTTGAAGAAATATATGCTAATGAGTAAATCACAGTCATGCAGGAGTAACAAATGCAAAGAGAAGGACCATAGCTAAAGTAAAGACTACTTTCAGCATATGTAAAGTGAACCTGATAATTCGTGTATCCATTTTCTGTTTGTTTCGTATCTAACAAGTGTAAAATATGATATTGCTGTGTCACAATTTGTGTTAACATACCAAACACAAAACACATTTCCAAACCCATATACTGCAAACACGAAACCTGTGTCTTTTTTTTGTATTTTTTCATGTCGTGTTTAAAATTGTTAGGTTAACGTAAAGGATGTTATCAGTGGCAATTGTTCTGAAACTTACTTTACTGCATTGGTGATGACATCAAATGGATCTGATCCCGCTGCCACAAAAACCAAATGGCTCCCCTCAAACTCATCAACAGCAGGATCTCCTGCAATGCACCAACAATCCCATGAGTTCAACAAGGACAACCAAAATGTTTAAAAGAGTACTAAGTTTGAGTTAATGTCTTGTTTCTCCTCTTACCACTTTCCAAACAAATCTCCAACTCATTTCTTTCATTGCCTTGAAGAACAGCCCTGAAATCCCCTTCAAGAATTGGTAAAAAAACAGCATATATAGCAGAGTCGTTTTCATTTCCCGTGCCAAAATGAGAGCCATCACGTGCTTCCACAATCAAAAACTGGGTTTCAAATGGAATATCTTGACCACAATTCCCCATCCTCTGTGTCATCCACCACATTTTGAACCGGAAAAGACACATGAAACGCAATCCCTTCCAAAAAAAAAAAAAAAACATATATATCAGCACAGTGAAAGCAAAACAAAACAAAGTCCTATAATTTCCAACAACCAGATTATCAAAGACACCAAATTGACTGTCAGAAAATAACAAAGAGAACGAACTAGATGAAGCTAAATTCTGCGTATGATCACTAGTGTCAGATCCAAAGAAATCAAACTGAAAATTATACATAGAAGGAAATAACAAGAAGGGAGATAAATTGCATGTTCTCTTTTCTCTGAACATTCTTTCAGAAATCAAACTAAAAATTGTTAAGAACAAAGAAGATATGATGAGTCGTACTCAAGCTTGCCAACCGGAAAGACCCTGCGGCTTCCCATCTGATCTGAACCAACTCCAATGAAAGCTCCATTAGCCAATGAACCACCAGATGCTGGAGCCATCACGATGTTGTCAGGAACATCATGTAGAATGCAGTTCCCCAACACCATTAACTTCCCATCATCACTCACAGAAATCCCAGCCCCTACAGTCATCTTCTTCTTGCTCTTTTAAACCAACAAAACCAAAAATCTCAATCAAAAACAAAACCAACCCCAGAAGCAACTTCGCTCTAAAAACCTCTCCAAAACAATATCGATGGACCTCAATGAACTTGGGGGGCTATTTATAGGCCAGCAAAACAAGAAATAAGATGATGATTAATGCAGCTTTACCATATTTATGTCATATTTTACGTGAAATTGCCATCTAGTGGCTCCGTGAAACAAGGGCAAAGTGATGAGTTATGAGTCATTGTTTCATACGGCAATCAGAATGGCATTGAATTCAGCTTTTTCATGTTGTCATGTCTCATATGTACGGTACCTTGTGGTAAAGGTTTTCTTTTACAACTTGGCCACTTCTTGCCTCAAGACTTTGCTACCAAATATTGCATGTGACTTTTCTGTATCGCAACTCATCAAAAATCTTAAGGGTTTAAATTAGATATCATACAAGTTATTAAGTTATTCCAATTCCGTTTCAATAAAATTTAAATTACGTTACTTAGTGAGTTAAATGTAAATATTTAAATATTTAATTTGAATATTTTACAAGCATGATTAATTTTTATATTTTAATATATCTTTTTTATTATTTTAATTAAAATAGTATTATTTTATTTTTTTATATCAATTTAAATTTGCACTCATTTATGAATACAAATAATCAAGTATAATCAATTAAAATCAAATATAAAAATTAAATTATTTTTTATTTGATAAATAAATCTAATCCAAAAAAATAATAAATTTTAATTTTTTATTTAAAGGCTAAAGCTTCAAAATAATAATAAATTTGAAATCAAACTTAAATTTCTCCTCTTATCGAGTCTCTCATACGAGGATAATATGATGTATTAATATGACAAAATAAAAGCATATGGTTAATCTTTAAAGTAAATTTAATAATTAAAAATATGATGTGAACATAATAAAAAAATAATATGATTTAAATTTTTAATAATAATTATATATAATAACAAAATAAATAAATGCATCTAAAAAAATGACGAGCATATTCCACGTGGCAGGACCACTGTGGATAGAGATCTTATCTTTTTTATACTAAGTTCTGCTTCTAAATCTTTACATATATATATATATATATTTACGAAATTAAAAACAATAGATTGGGTGGGAGTTTTTGAGTTTGACAGCTAAGATTGAGCAGTGACGTGTTTGGAGGAGAATACGTGTATCCAACGTGGAATTTGATGTGAAATTAGGTTTGAAAAATTAATTAACAAGGGTAAATACGTGTGGCCACGTAGATTACATACAAAGCACAGCTCAGATTGTACTTGGCATTTCTATCTTTTTTTTTTTGTTGGTTTGTCAGTTTCATTTGTGGATTGTGACTACATTCAAGGATTTGGATTATTGTAAATGAATTATTATTAGCTTAATAATAAGTATTAATTATATAATTAATTAATGTATAAATCATCATTAACAATTACGACAACAAAATAATAATCATTTATTTTCCATTTTAGGATTACACTATGGTTTTTTTTTAGTTTTGCCATGAAATAAAAAAGGCAAATTATTACTTGATAAAATTATAATGTGATGTAAATTTAATAATTTGCATATTTATTTTTATTAATTTATGTTTAATATATATATAATAAAAATATTATCATGTTATAATTTATTTTAGTCAAATATATATAATTTTTATAAAATTTTAAATTATATTTTTTTAATTATATTATTATATCAAATCTAAACTAATAAAAAAATTTTATGTTATGTGTTGCAATAAAGGAGCTTGAATCCTAGGAATTTTTTCTTTTATATAAAAAAATTCAGAGATAGATAGATTGTTTAATTTTTTAAATTAATATAAAATGAACCGTATCTAATAATCTAAGACAGATTACTGTAGGTCGAATATTCAAAATAATTCCAACAAGTAATAATTGATAAAACTTGAATCTAAAATATTTTCGTTAATAAAAATAAATTTTAATCGATTAAATCAATCATTTTATTAGTAAATCCTAAGAATTGAATAATTAAAAACATTAGCAACCTGAGCTTGCTTTAGTTTTCTAAAGGAAAAAGGATGCTATCAGAAAACAGGCAGGTCCAACTGAAATTCTTCAGCTCAATCAAGGTAGCCCTTTTCTCTGATTTCTGTCCAACCTATCATTGAATTTATTGTTAACATTATATGATATAACTTTATTAGATAAAACATTCAGCCCTTACTATATGATAGAATCATTGGCATCATATTATAATATATGATAAAATAATATTAATAAATAATTAATTCACTTGATTTTTTTTTTTTTCGACAAAAAATTCTTGAATTCAATGTCATTTATTGAAATTATATCGAATATACGATATGTAATTATTTATTTTAAATTATCAGATACGATACATTTTATTTTAATTTAAAAAATTAAATAAATTATTTATCTCAAATTTTTATATAATAAAAAAAATAAAAAAATTGGTATCATATATTAATATCAAAAGGGAAAAATTATTTTTATGATAAATTCATTCCAGGAAAAAAAAAATGATTCAGGGGAAATTGCCAAGCAGATAATGTGGAATGCATGCTCAGAAATGCATGTGAAAGTTGTTGGCGCTCCTATCTTTAGGGTGATGTGTCATTTTGGTGACAGTGATTAGCTCTGCACGCTGCAGCTTTTGTTGAAAACCTGCTCTGCAATTAATGGCGTATGTTTTGATTAAGTTCATGTAAATAAAAATATCAGCAACATATTTTCACGTGGGTGTCATGTGAGGATCCAGAAGATAAAAAAATCCTGCAGTACCTTGTAATCTTGTTATTTTTAATGATTTGATTAGATTTTTCAAAGAACAAAGACAAAGTCAAATCCAGGAATGGGTAGCAAAGTTGTGATTCTAATTTTATCGGTTAAATTTTCTATTGACAGGCATGCCAAAGTTTTCTGTTATGAAATTTAAATTTATAAGATATTTTTATGAAATAAAATTATAAAATATTTTATATCATTAATTAATAAAATGGTAAATTATATATAAATTTAATAAAAATAAAAAATATATTTTATATTTAATATATAACATAAATAATAATATAATAATTTTTATAATTCACACATATTAAATATAAATATTCAAATTACGTATTAAATATTAAATAATAACATCAGATGCTGGCAAAATTAGTTTGCTCGGATTCATTTGTTTGGTATTATATCAGTCTCAATTCGCATCTGCAGTCACCGGTTATATTAATGATCAGAAACAAGCGATTGGCGTTAATGACTAGTCCTCCATTAAAAGTGTTTTCGGTTTAATTTTATTCTTATCTTGTCAGCCTTGTTATGCTGATGACCAGAGTTGCAGCTGACATAAAGAGCACATCCTCCCACAGCACCAGCAGCTCCCTAGTGTTCAGCCATTGGATGAGAATGAATTTAATATCCAATTTATCCTCCAAAAACTTTGGAAAAACTTCATTCAGACATTAATATATTTGAATACGATTAGTTCAATAAATCAAATTATTTATATTTAATTTAATAATAATTAAATTAAATTTAAATTTTATTTGAATCAAATATGAATAGTTTACAAATATTAATATATTATTTATACTTTTAAATTAAATTTTTGGAGAAAAAATCATCTAAAGCCCTCATAACGACCGTGCCATTAACACTGTAGAAACAAATTATAACTCATGAAAATCCAGAATTACGAGTTCTTGCACCCACACTGTACTCTGAATGGAATAGTTATATAGAGTGTCAAGATTGTGACTCATACAAGAAATAATATCATTTTCATGGAAATTTCTTGATGTTTGATGCCTGTAATGCCTGTTGGTATTTTCTAGTGAGTTTTACTCTTCCGCCATGGCCTGCTCCAAGAGTTTCAAGAATGCTTTGAACATCAACTGGACACCAACAATACTAGCAGATGCCAGATACAAATGAAGATCATTATAGAATCGAAATTTCAATGGCAAGATCTCCTGAAAAAAGCCAGCAATTCTATAATTTTACAAGCAGAACCAGATTCAGATCATGTAAAATCTAAATTAATGCTTTTCTTACCACTTTCCAAGCAGATTTCCATCTCATTTAGTTCATTCCCTCGAAGAACAGCACTGAAATCACCTTCAAGAACTGGCAAGAAACCTGAATACACTACATTGTCATGAACGTATCATGCAAGATGCAGCAACCAACTAAAACACAAAATAAAAGATCAGATTATATCTTACACCGAAAGAGAAGCTGCAATTCTTAGCAAGACAGATGAATGGTACCAGATGTAACTGTTATTTTAGTGTTTTGTTATGCCATATAATTTTACACATAACGATACTAAAATAAAGATGAAAGCAATACAATTTAAAATTTTGATAAAAAATATTTCATATTTGATATGTCAGCATGAAATATAATATGATAATTTTACGAAATATAATATAATAATTTTAATATTTTACATGTATTTAATACGAAAAAAATACAAACATGAATATGTAAATTACCATGTATAGTTATAGTGATACATATTGCATGTTATGCCATGCATTAAGGCTTTAGATCCAGGTGGTTGAATGTATATGTAACAGGAAAATCACTAAAATTTACATGTCACAATGCATGATTGCAGATGTAGTAGAGTAAACTAGATTTTGTAGAGGTAGAGCACGTGTTGCAGTTCTGTTAGAAGTCCTTCTAAAACAGGGATGATCCAGTTGGGCTGCAAAGTTCTTGCTAAGGCCCATCTGCCAACCCATTCTGAATGTGACCTACTGACTATAGGAGGATTAATCCAAGCTATATAAAACTGGACTCATTATGCCATTAACAAGGCAGTCTTATTAACTACTAGAGTATTAATCATTGGAGATTTGATTATTTTAAATATAATACAATAATATGATATAAAAAAAATATAAAATTTATATAATTTAAAATTCAATAAAAATTAAAAATTATATTTTATATTTAACATTTCTATATAACTTATGATATAATAATTTTCATGTTAGATATAATATATATAAATATACGAATAATCAAATTTATTTAATTGAATCATTATATCCATTAGTACTTGTGGAATTAATTAGTTATATAAATGTTTACTTGATTGATTTATGATATCTAGCTTGGGTATGAGGAAATTGAAACATGGGATGGTTGATTAATGTTTTATTTGGATAGACGATGGAATAAATTTTTATTATACAAAAATTATTGTTTTACCAT